TAATTTATGTTCCTTTGTTTCATTTCTCCATCACAAAATACCAAATTCCCTCATTTTAACAGATAATGTTTTAAAAAAATTTAGGGGCAAAACCCCATTGGGGCCCCCCACCCCTTCAACTTTGGGACCCTCCCTACTTCGACGGACTAGCTCTGCCCCTATCCATAAGTACCATAAAATAATTTCATTCCCTATAAATAGTAGGCACATAGGAAAGGTGAAGTAAGTTACATTTTGTTCCAATTTTTGTAGTAGATTCCCACTGCAAAATATTGACACAAGTGAAGGAAAAGAGTATCGGCTAAACTTATGTTTTTGAGGTGATTGCGGTGTATTTTTAAAAAATGGTATCAAATAGTATTATAATGTGGTGCATCAAACAAAAAGGGTGATAGATATCCATCCACAATTGTTTGCCGAAAAAAGGCAACTTACACAAATAACTTTAATTTCAAAGTCGTTTTGAAAAATTAGTATAAATATGGGGCTAAAATATAAATACCACAAATATTAACATTAACAACGTAATTAATACGTTATAACCATTTAATTGTAAAACTCGGAAAGAGTGAGATACTGAAAATTTTATAAACCAAGGGTACCAGAGATAAAAGGCTGTTCAGCTAGCTTTTCTTTTTTTAATAATAATAATAATAATAATAATTTCAGTTTCTTCTCCAAAACTGCAAATAATCAACTTTGGATCAATTCAAGTGTTGCATACTAAACATTTGTGAAAATATAAATAGAAATATGAGAATGTGAAAAATTACATGCTCTGTCACCTTTTTTTAAGAAAGTTGCAGAATGTCTTATTTGAATTCTTTATGGATCAATTAGAGATGATTACATACGTGTTCATAAAAATTTAAATATGAATATAAATTTAAAATTTGTTTTAAATTAAAAAAGTGAAATAATTTAACACTTCATTTGACTTTTGCATATAAATTAAGCTGCTAGAATTTGAAAGTGACATTTTTTCTTAAGAGCTATCTCATTTGAATTCTTTTTGGACAATTAAAGAGATGCATATATGTGTGTGTGTGAAAAAAAATTATAATTTCAAACTTTAATTTTAAATTAAAAAAGTAAGATAATGGAGTACTTCATCCATCTCATAAAACCAAACTTGCTTCCATTTTCACGTAAGCTAAATTAGACAACAATTTTTTTTAATTTCAAAGTGGGAGTATTAACAAAGAGTGACATCACTAAAGTATAACAAATTAGCTATTTTTTCTTTAAATTAATTTTGACGTTACGTTGCAGATTCCATCGCCACGACTTGAGAAGGTGGACAATCCTTCAGTGCAGACCTAACGAGAGGCAGAATTCAAACACACCCAAGATCCACAAGAATCGGACGAACATCTATGGAGCGTAGCAAGGATTTTTGAAATTCAAGCACACCCAAGATTTCCTCAACAAGGTCGCTTGGATTATAGGTCCGAATGACTTGCTCCTTTCGTTTTCTTTGTTTGGTAGACCATGACCAGCTAAAGATCATTGTCATCTCACGAATTAGATTTGAATACCAATCCATCCCTTCATCTGGATAATGACCATTTAAATATTATTAATATCATTACATATGCCACAAAGTATCTCTAAATTACCTATCCTATGCTCGAGAAAGCCGGTTCATAAAGCCATCATCCTTTTGGCTTATTTATGAACTATGATTCTTCACTCGTCGAGTGAGATTTTTGTTAGTTCTTAATGTATTCACAACAGATTTTGAAATATATCTTTCGAATATAAAAATCGATAAACGACGAGTTCATAATAACGAGTCAAAATACCAAAAAGTAATTGTTCAAATTTCATAATTTTTTTCTATTGATATCGGTAAGGAAACGACATGAAAAGAAAAATTAATAATCGAGATTTTGAGTTCTATAATTTATGCTAAATAATTTACGACATTTAAACTTTACCACAGCATATTCATCATGGTCGCATTGCAAACTTTCTAACAAATATTACCAAAGCATAAAATACTGCAACAAACGAATAAAAAAGTACTAGTAGCAGTAGTAATAATTATTATAATTATAATAATAATAATTTTGAATGTGAAAAAATTCAAATTAGAGAGGAGGTGTATCGACCTCTGTTTGGGATGAATTTGGAAACTTCGAAATTAATGTCTTCAAAATTTTAATAAGGCGTAATTAATACGATTATTAAAGATTAAATTCTTTCAAATCCATAGCATAAAAAACTGCAACGAGAAAAAAAATATTAATAAAATTTTAAATGTGAATTTTCAAATTGGAGAGGGGTCGTGGACCCTTGCGTTTGGGATGAATTTGCTAACTTCCGAATTAATGTCTTCACATTTTTATTAGGGCGTAATTAGGACGATTATGTTGGGAAATATGTAGGAATCAAGCACACCCAAGATTTCCTCAACTGGGTCGCTTGGATTATAGGTCTGAATGACTTGCTCCTTTCGTTTCTTCATTTGGTAGACCATGACCAGCTAAAGATCACTGGGAGATGCTAGAGGTACATAACCTCTTACATCAGGGTGTCCATAATGGAAACTCAGTGCCTCATCATTGGAGGGAGGGTTGGTGGGGTCAGCACTCCCTCCAATGAGGAGGTGTCGAGTGTCCATTATGGACACCCTTATGTAAGTGGTGATGCACCATTAGAATAATCCAAGATCACTGTCATCTCACGAATTAGATTTGAACGTCAATCCATCCCTTCATCTGGATAATGACCATTTAAATATTATTAATATCATTACATAGGGCAAAAAGTATCTCTAAATTACCTATCCTATGCTCGAGAAAGCCAATTCATAAAGCCCATCGTCCGTTTGGCTTATTTATGAACTATGATTCTTCACTCGTCGAGTGAGATTTCTGTTAGTTCTTCAATGTATTCACAACAAATTTTGATATATATCTTTCGAATATAAAAATCGATAACCTACGAGTTCATAATAACAAGTCAAAATACTGAAAGTAATTGTTCAAATTTCATAATTTTTTTCTATTGATATCGGTAAGGAAATGAAATGAAAAGAAAAATTAATAATCGTGATTTTGAGTTCTATAATTTATGCTAAATAATTTACGACATTTAAACTTTACCACAGCATATTCATCATGGTCGCATTGCAAACTTTCTAACAAATATTACCCAAGCATAAAATACTGCAACAAACGAATAAAAAAGTACTAGTAGTAGTAGTAGTAATAATTATTATAATTATAATAATAATAATTTTGAATGTGAAAAAATTCAAATTAGAGAGGAGGTGTATCGACCTCTGTTTGGGATGAATTTGGAAACTTCCAAATTAATGTCTTCAAAATTTTAATAAGGCGTAATTAATACGATTATTAAAGATTAAATTCTTTCAAATCCATAGCATAAAAAACTGCAACAAACGAGAAAAAAAATATTAATAAAATTTTAAATGTGAATTTTCAAATTGGAGAGGGGTCGTGGACCCTTGCGTTTGGGATGAATTTGCTAACTTCCAAATTAATGTCTTCATATTTTTATTAGGGCGTAATTAGGACGATTATTAAAGATTTAATTTATTTTTAACGTATTAATTTAAAATTTTTTTTTTTTTTAATATAGTAATTGACTTAATAGGAAGGCTAGAACAGCCTTACTGGATCAAGTTTGGCAGAATTCAATAATTCTGCTGCTCATGAAGAAGAATAATGTTTTCTTGCCAGATGAATTTAACACCTTGGATGACATATGCATTGGCGGCAATAAATGATTGATGAAAAAACAAATTTTTTTTTTAATATGGCCAATGACAGATTGCCATGTGTCATTATATCTCAAAACGATGAAAAATATCTAACAGATTATTAAAGATTTAATTTATTTTTAACGTATTAATTTAATTTCTTTTTTTTTTTTAATATAGTAATTGACTTAATAGGAAGGCTAGAACAGCCTTACTGGATCAAGTTTGGCAGAATTCAATAATTCTGCTGCTCATGAAGAAGAATAATGTTTTCCTGCCAGATGAATTTAACACCTTCGATGACATATGCATTGGCGGCAATAACTGATTGATGAAAAAACAAATTTTTTTTTTTAATATGGCCAATGACAGATTGCCATGTGTCATTATATCCATCAAGATAGTAAGATTTTTTGGCAATGAAACAAGGTTACGTGAAGAACATCATGTTCCAGAGAAATCCATTATTTTTCTACAGGGCCCCAAAGTATTAAAATTTCCAAATCCTACTGCGGATTGATTATTTTTCCAAGCATAAAAACAATTAAACTCCTGTTACAAGATCTAATCCGAGTTGTCAAAAGATTGCAGACTTCCCCTTGATACTCACAAAGCAAATGAAATAACCACAGCAATGGAGAAACTTACACGCAATTGTGAACATAAACAGGCAACCAAGTATGTTTTATTTTTCCTACAGCAACATAAAACAGAACTTCCGAGGCCCCTGAGACAGATAACAAGTGACACCATCAACAAAAAAAAGAAAAGAAAAATATCATTGATGAAATTAATTCACTAATGACAACAGAGGAGACCAAGCTTTGATCTGGGATCTATCCACACTTTGGGTTTTTAACAGATCATAATTGATGAATGCAATAATTATATTAACAAAATTTTGCAATTCAAATTAATTTATTCTGACCTTCATTATTAGAAAAATCAATTTCTTGGGCCAGCAAGTTTTCCCTGGTGAGCAAACGGATCAATATACTCGGGCCTTTGGGGGAAATGACTCAATTTCATCATCCAGCGTGTTCATATGAACTGCCCTGTAAGCAAGCTTAACTTTTTCATTCTCCCAATATCTGCAGATGACAATAGGAGCTTTATCAACAAACTGGGCTTCAACATTATCAACTCATCAATAATATCAGCAATCAGTGTCACAAGTTTATGACGTCAAGTTATGCAGGGAGTTCAAGATGACAAAAGTAGGGTGAAATAAACAAATTAACATGAACATGCTGCAGGAAATATTCCAATGTATCAACATCATTGAATGATACAGAAAACCTGAGTTATGAAGCTTGAAAAATGGGTTTGGTTTGTCTACATCAAAAGCAAGCACTAAAGTGTGCCTTCAAGTTTAAGGCCATGTTTGGTACACATTATTTTTTTCATTCTCATTCTTCTACTCTTTTTCAACCACACATTTTTCAATAAAATAATATTTTCCATCACATCAATAATTTTTCCTTCATTTTTAACCACACATTTTCTATCAATCTACTATTCAATAATACATTCTTTCAAAAAAATGTGTCCCAAACACACTCTTTATGTTAAATGAAGAATTGAAGAAAATAATACAAAAGTTGCGAAAAATGGCAGAATCCAAAGATAAAACCTTGGAATCTCATTTTAAGAACACATTTTTCAATAAAATAATATTTTACATCACATCAATAACTTTTCCTTCATTTTTAACCGCACATTCTCCATCAATCTACTATTCAATAATACATTCTTTCAAAAGAATGTGTCCCAAGCACACTCTAAAAACACAAACTGCATCAAATCCTGTTGGAAATCAAGGCTCGATAAATCTTAATGAGATGAGTGAGAACCATCAGTCTATTACCCTACATCAGATGTGTGTGACATGGACATGTGGATTGGCTAGTGCACAAGAATAATAACTGCATGCATGACTAAACCTAAGTTCCACAGTGACAAAGAAATAGTTTATTGTAGTATCGTATATGCATCATGTTTCACCAGGACCTGACACGACTTACATGATTCCTTGTAGAACCATAAACTTTTGATTGACACTGTCCTTGGATCACTTAATAATACACAAACAAGAAACTGAGGGAAAAAACTTACCCCAAAGTGTGTTTCATCCAGTTTTCATCATCTCTTTTCTGCAAACAGAACAAAATTTGATTCAGTTGTGTCAGGCTAAAGAGAAAAATGAAAAATAAATTAGCATTTAAGGGTTTAGAACTAACCGTAAAATCTTCACGCGCATGGGCTCCTCTACTTTCCTTCCTCGCTTCAGCAGAGTGCATGGTGATACATGCATTGATTAAAAGGTTTTCCAACTCAATAGTCTCTATCAAATCTGAGTTCCTGTGAACATTGTCTATTAAAAGTTTTCCAACTCAAGTCTGAGTTCCTGGTTATACATGCATTAATTGAATATTCCACACTAGGGGAAAATAAGCAATGAAAAATTATGGACTTCAGTATACGACTTTCAATGCTAATAATCCTATTAAACATATATACCATATCAAGCTTCTGTCCTTCAACTTGACATCATGGAAGCTCTCCCATGCTTTATCAATCAACTGACAACCTTCAAGAAAAAAAAATAGTGAATCAGTGAGGTAGTTACTGCAAACTTGTCCGTGTAGATGCAGCCCAGTTCAGCGAGAAAATGAAGGATATCCACCTTAGTATCTGGTTCATCTCTTATACTACAAACTGGAAAAGGGAGATCTCTATTGCATACCTTCTTCTAATGTTTCCTGAGTGCGAAACACAGCAGCATTGTTTTGCATAATCCGTTGCATGTTCAACCGGATATTTGAGGTGGGAAGGGAACCATTTGAATTCCGAAGCTTGTCCAACCGTGCAATACTCCTCTCTCCAGCATCCTTTTCAAGCGGTTTTTGACTCTCTCCTGCATGAGTGCAAGACCTCTCAAACTTATCATGCATTGCACATGAGGCACCAAATCCCTAAAAATAAACGAACTTCTATTTACCTGGTCTACGGATCTCAGCAACCCTGTTTGCACAAGCACGTCCAAACACAACAATATCAAGAAGGGAATTTGCACCAAGTCGATTAGCTCCATGAACAGATGCACAGGCAGCTTCCCCAGCAGCTAAGAGTCCAGGAGTCACTGCATCAGGATCATCACCTTTGATGGTAACTACCTGCACAGTAAACATTATTTAAGGAGAAGAGTTCGATATTATTTGATCAAGAGTAAAAATTTCAGTGTGAATTTGTACCTCTCCATGGTGATTTGTGGGGATTCCACCCATGTTATAATGGACAGTAGGTAAAACAGGGATTGGTTCTTTTGTAACATCGACACCGGCAAAAATAGCAGCAGTTTCAGATATACCAGGAAGTCTCTCCTTGAGGACCTCAGGAGGTAAGTGATTTAAGTGAAGATAGATATGATCTTTCAATGGTCCTGTTGGGAGATAAGAATAACCCGTCACATTATGTATAATTGGTAACAATCAATCCTATGAACTCCACTAGCTGCCACATACTGTTCTCCAATCGATGTTTATTCATTTCTCTAAGCTACCAACCATACATATTAACATTAATTCTGAACAAACAACCACTCGATATCATGCATCTTTCACTTCTATAAAATATAAATGAACACATTTAAGCTCAAGGCAAATGCTAACTTAAGATTTCACAAGATCTATTAATCATACTATGACAAGAATGATTTAACAAGATACTGAATTCTTAAATTATAATGAGTAGAGATTTGAAACTTAGGGAAACCATCACCATGTTCTGGAGATACTGCAACAATAAGATTATGTGGAAGTAAATTTATTTTCTTTTCTTTGAAAAATCAAAATTAGTTATTACAGGAAAGAGTAAAAGCCTGCATAAAACAGGTTAAAAAGAAAAGTATCAAAAAGTCCATCCAAGTCCAAAAGAACTCGGAATGGACTGATTATTTCAATTTAAAAGGAGAATAAGATACTCCTACTTCTCCAGGAAGGATTTCTACATTCTGAAAGCCCTCTGCTCTTTTCTCCCAAAACAGCTCACATTAGACATGTGGGAGTGACTTTTTGGATCCCAGAATTTAACATATTCAGATAAACCAAACTTTACCGTACACAAAAGATTGTGGAATACAGTCCTACCTACACCACGCCCTTCTCGGATCTCCATTGTCATAGATCTCGAAACAACGTCTCTTGATGCAAGATCCTTAGCTGTTGGGGCATACCGTTCCATGAATCTTTCACCTTCACTATTCCTAAGAATACCACCTTCACCCCTGGACCCTGAACATGGAGAAACAAACATTGGAAATCACAGCATCTGTTAATGAGTAATGCAAGAGCAGTAGGTTTCATATAGATCGAACCGAGATAGATAGGCACAGACCTTCAGTAATGAGACAGCCTGCACCATATATGCCAGTTGGATGAAACTGGACAAACTCCAGATCCTGTAAAAAGAAAGTCATAGCAATAATGGTTGGTGACATTAACATAGCACCTGTTTATGAAACTCACTTTAAAAATAGATTCTCCATCCCCAATACTCCTTATTTGAAAATAGAAATACAACAATAAACACACCTCGAGTGGCAGCCCAGCTCGAGCAACCATAGCATTGCCATCTCCGGTGCAAGTGTGAGCAGAGGTAGCAGAGAAGTATGCCCTACCATAACCCTGGCAGAAGCAGCAACAGAAGCAGCTTTTCAGGTCATAAAAATCGAAATAAGCATTTTACGGCAAATGACTGGTTCAAGTCTAAATATGCTTCAAGAATTAATAGTTACCCCTGTAGCCAGAATTGTTGAGGCCGCACGGAACCTGTGTAATGTCCCATCCTCCATATTTAAGGCAATTACACCTTGACAGCTACCTGATAATGAAAAAAAATAAATATATATACCGACAGATTTGCGTGTCCATGTTTATCCATATGTCTATGCGCACTACATGTCAATTTTTTTTCTGGTTCAGAGCCCGTTTGGTACACATTAAAATGAGAGAATGCTTTTTTTTGAAGTGATGTGATGCAGAATATGTGGTTGAAAAAGAAGAAAAAGTTATTGATGTGATGAAAAATATTATTTTATTGAAGAATGTATGATTGAAAATGAGTAGAAGACTGAGAATGAAAAAAATAATGTGGCCCAAACAGGGGCTCAATAAGCTAAGTATATTAATGTACATCCATTCAAATAGATATTAATCCACTCGCCTTTCAACAGTGGTTCCATGTTCCGTGCAGATTTTTGCATTATGATAGTTAAAGAACCGCATTTAAACATAATAACAGAATAACAGTTTTCGGAATTTGAAGATGATGTTCTTAACTTTGTAAATGGCAGTTTTACCCTAGTAAATTTTTGCTTTTCTCCCCACTTTTACTTGTCTGCAGATACGTTTTTCCTGGCCATAAACATTTTATTGACTACATGTTTCATAGCATGAATTAAATAGACTAACGTTATCAAAAAAATTTGATAGATTTTGAATAATCTTTCTGGGGGGAAAATAAGGAATATTACAAAGAAATAAGTGATTGAACAAACTCCCAATATAGTTAGAAGGAAGATAGGGTAACCATACCATCACTACCCATAAGTAAATCCAGAGCAAAGTATTCCACAAAAAATTGGGTATTGTGTTTCATAGCCTGGCCATAAAGAGCATGCAACAAAGCATGCCCAGTTCGATCTGCAGCACATGCACAACGATATGCTTGTCCACCTACAAGAAATAGAGGTAGCGCAAATCAAATAAGTTCTGTTGAAATCCTGTAATATTCTTCCATGTCAAAACACCTTAATACCTTTTCCAAAGTTTAGGCTTTGACCACCAAATGCACGCTGATAAATCTTCCCATCTTCAGTCCTGGAGAATGGTAGCCCATAATTTTCAAGCTCTATAACTGCTTTTGGAGCTTCCCTACACATGTACTGAATGGCATCCTGATCACCTGCAGAAAAAATAACGCCAGTTACTTAAAGATAATTTAGCCCCTTTTTAACTTACTTTGGGTCCTTTACTTAGATATACTAGGAATGGTGGTAAAGACTGGTAAGTAAATAAAAGAAAGATACAGGACCCCAAAGATTTCAAACTACTGGAACTCTACAACAAATTAAATTACAACCATGTGAAGGCCTAATTTTGTTGGAATACAACTTTTTTCTCAACCATAGACCAAAAGAAAACAAACTTATCAGGAGTGTAGGGTAGTCAACAGCTCAGAAACCTCTGAGATTTGTAGAGATTCAGTTCAAAAACCAACAAAACCATAGATACTTAGACCAAAATTTTAATGTTTTGTGGCATATGAAAGTGCAGGACAACAGGTGACAACCTATTCTGAATCGAGAAAGATTTTATGCAGTAGTTTCAATGCATAAATTGTACAATGTAAATTCATAAACAGGAATTTCTAATTATGTCCATTAGACATATAAAAATATGTGTATCGTGTAATTCAGTTTCAATTGGATAGGGATCTTGAGTCACTTCAATCTACTTATATTACCCAATAGCATCCATAAACTGTGAAATTTTCATAATCTAGTTCCATTTCAGGCTTTACTCAGATCACAACTCAGCCCAAGCTACCAAACATTTTGTGGTTATAAATAATATTAACAAAATAAAAATTGCTTTCGGAGTTATGACAACTAGAAGAAAGCCTTTGCCTTGGAGAACAGCAACTACAAAAAGGCCTTTGCCTTATATCAGTAGCACTTACCTAGCCAGTCGCTTCCCTTGACTGTATCATACATGTGCCACCTCCAATCATCTTCTGTCATATTTCCTAATGCAGCATTTATTCCACCCTGCAAAAGGATTTACAGAGATGGAGGTTAGATGCACATTTTACAGTGGACAAACATTTTGGGCTTGCATTGACACTGGAGAACAGAACATCATATATTTATAAAGAAGTCAAACAGATATTGACATCAATGTCTTCAAACAAGACTTATAAAGTATAATCAAGAATTGACACCCCCAAAATATATAATAGAATGCCAACTACAGAGACAAACAACAGTCTGGTATGTTTCAAGCCACCTAAAAAAAGATTAAAAAAGGTTAGATTTCTACTAATGGGGAATAGCAAGAGGCTGGTCGTCTTTGATAAAATTGAGTTATTTGATTATGCAGACCGGGCAAATTCTGAAAATTGCATCTGGTAAATTGATCAAAAATTTAAAATGAGTTCTTGATCTCAACGACAAGATGACTATGCTCAAAAATAGGTTTTATCTATGTATGAAAAAACTTGGAAAGGTGAAAACATGCCAGAGAAGGTGTAATAAGAATCATTTTAAATTATTTATGAACTAGAACAAACAGACTACAAAAAAATAATATTACAAATAATGCTACCATTCCTTCTTTAATTTTCCACTTTCAGCTACCAGCAAAACTATATCACTAGCCTCAAAACATTTAAATCAATGTCAATAAGATAATGAATACCCACTTATTGATAGCATCCAAGGAGATGGGAAAAATAGGAACAAAAAGGGAATTATAATCCAATTCCATATATCTCAAATATAATAAAAATAATATTGAATTATTTTAACACTAGAAATATACAATAAAATTGGCCATTTGAAACATAGGCAAAGGAGAGGGAGAAAAAAAAAAAAAAATATATATATATTCTTTATCCACCAATGAATTAATGTGCCAACTCATCGGTGCTTAGGATAAGATGAGCACCGGTGTTCATTAGATCATTCCTGTATATATATATATATATGTATATATATATATATCGCAAGATATTGCCCATGCTTACTGAAATAGGAAACATTATTCGTACCCAGAGAGCTAGAATTACAGTACCTGAGCTGCAACTGTATGCGACCGTGTAGGAAACAGCTTGGTAATGCAAGCTGTGTTGAAACCATGCTCCGACAACCCTATCGCGGCTCTCAGACCAGCACCGCCTGCACCTACCACAACAGCGTCATAAGTATGATCCACCACTGTGTATGATGACCCTCCCACATTCTGTTCAAAACAAACCAATAAATTCCAAATATGAATAAAATATTAAACATATACTACTTCAAACCGATAATACATCAAGTAAAAAAACTAATTAGTTCAACCTAACCCTGCAACCCATCAATTTAAACCACAAACCCAAATCCACAAAAGAATCAAATCACGAAATTAGAACAAATTCAAGTCAAGGACCCAAGATTTGTCTCCAGATTTGCAAAGTAAAAAATAAAAACAACTTTAAATAACAAATAAGCTTATTATGAGTTAAAATTGTAAACAGGGAATCTTACTGATTGGGTCGAAAAGAGACGGCGGAGGGAGTCGCCAGCTGTAGAATTCTTCGAGGGAATGCGGATGCCACGCGACACGCACCGCCACATCTCTATTCAATTCTGTATAATGTAATTGAGGATGTATGTATATATGATATCTGGATTATGATTGTGAATGAAATGAGCGTATCTGAGTTTCGTTGTTATGAGAACAGGGTGAAAGGGCATGGACATTGGAATGAGAAGGGGAATATATATAACCAGAAATGAGGATACATTTGCCACTGGACTTTCCGATATATACTTAAATGCCATTTTGTGCTTGTAATGGTAAATTTGCTATATAAAATTTGTTGATTATGAAATATTAGTTAATTTTAATTAATAAATATTTATAAATTCTAAAAGTATCTTTATTCAAAATTGTAATTACTAATTTCATCAATTAAGGTACCATTAAAGATTTAGAACATGTGTTAGTCTAGATTTTCCTTTGGGAAAGTTACTTATTCGAAGTATATTCAATTAAAAAGTATGAAAAATAATGAATTGACGTATAAAATTATTTTTAAAAAAATATATCATAAAAAAAGAGTTTCAAAATATAATTTTTAAAAAATCTCTATCAAATAAGAGCTTAAAATACATTTGATAGGTCAGAAATTGAACAAGTTAAAGAGCATGTTTTGGAGTGGCTTATTATTATTCAAAATAAGAATCAAATGTGTTATTTATTTTTAAGAGAAAAATGTTACTTGTAAATAAAAACTACAAAGTTAAATAAAGTTTTAAAGATAAATGAGGTGTCAAGAAGAGGATGTGATTTTTCATTATTATTATCTGATTGAAGAAATTCTAATTCAATCATATATCACCATATTATGTGTATGTACATTACTCTATACGTGGTGGTCACATTTAGCACAATGGTTTTAAGATAGATGGTTCATATTAAAAATAGGTCAACATTTAGTGATATTTAAGTATAAACCACCCCGATCATGCTCTAAATTTAATTTTTTTTTTTATATATATTTTACTTTATGTAGATAAATTATATTGATTTGATAAACTTAAAAAATACTATATTGATAAGTAGGGCTGTAAATGGATCGAATATGGATTGAATCTGCCTATATTTGATCCGATAAGAATAATTATCCAATCATATCTGATAATCCAACGGATAATTGATTGTTAAATCTATATCCATTTGCTATGTTATCGGATATCCGATCTGATAATTCGATCCGAAATTAAAGAAATTAGGGAAAAAATAATGTTGGAATTAATTTTTTTTTTGAAAAAAATTCCAATTTTACCAATTCTTAAACAGGTTTAATAATTATAATATTTTCAACTTTTTATGTTTTGAATTTGATTACTNATTAGTCGAGGTGCACACAAATTGGTCGGGACACTCACGATTATAAAAAAAAAAAACTATAAAATAAAATGGAGAATGTTCTTCGAACATAAGGGTATGTTTGAACCACATTATTTTGGAAAAATGTATTTTGAAATAGTAAATTGATGGAGAATATGTGGTTGAAAAAGAAAGAAAAATTATTGATATGATGAAAAATATTATTTTATTGAAAAATATGTGGTTGAAAATAAGTAGAAGAATGAAAATAAAAATTTTAATGTGACTCAAACATGAGCTATAAAAATATTTTACCAACTCAATAATTTATAATAAATCGGATTGAATTGGCTTATATCCATATTTGATCCATTTAATTAACGAATTATCGGATTCAGATCTTAATCGAATTATCGGACTAAGACCATGAATCCATCTCTCATTAATTTTATCGGATTCGAATCAAAATTCAATCCATTGAAAGCCTTATTGATAAGTGTAAAACAATCAAATGCATTTATATGAATTAAGAACATAGTTATTCCAAAAGAATTTAAAAAAAAAAAAAAAAACAAGCTAAGAAGACATTAGAATCAATTAAACAAATCAATCATCATAATTCACTTTCCTCCCTCATCCTTTCTCCCGAGAGAGTTCATGTCATTTCTTGCTTCTCTTAACCTTAAGAGTGCAAATTCTTGAGTGGCATTTTTTAAAGAATAAACAAAGTATTATTGAAATCTACCCTATCATCTCCCTTTATCTTATTGTTAGAAATTCGGTGTAATTTGAATTCCTTGTTGAAGTTTGGAATGCTATTGGAGTCCTATATCAAGTTAAAATTCTATTTTGGAAGCCCATTAGAAGTTGAAATTTGTTTTGAACTCATTTTTTGGTATCTTACTTCATCAACAACTCTAATATGAGGGTTTGGACATCCCCTACATATTCCCTATAAATATTTGACTCTTCTATAATTTTATAATGTGAGAAAAGAGAATACTTGAAGTTAAGGATCAATTGTATATTTCTCTATTATTATTGGTGCAATAAAATCTCTTAATTCCTCTACCATATTTTTTTGTCTTTTTTTTATTCTTTTGATTGTGATCAAATACCTCATTATTGTATCATATAATTTTAACATCTCAATCCGGTAGTTGTTTCATATCAAGTGATATCAAGCGATACGTGATTCTTGAATTCTCAATAATTGGTATCAGAGATTTTTGGCATAATTAATACAACAAGTGTTATCATAGCGATTATGGTATCTTGTTTATTTCATAACAAGTGGTATTAGAGCTTAAGTTCAACAGTTTCGCAGAATGCAATGTTTGATTTGTTTGAGATTTTTGTTCGTAATGGCTTCTATGAAGTATGGCATTTCACTTTTGGATCGAAGTACTATATTTTCGCTATTTCAAGTTAAGATTCGTGCAATATTCGCACAGTTGGATTTGGATAATGCGTTGTTGAGAATTGACAAGATACAAGGAGAAATTTCGGAAGGATGAGAAGACAGTTTCTCACATTTCCATTCATCTTCATCTATCGAATATTATTCTTCACGACATTTTGAATGAGGGTTTAGCAACTACTTTATGGTTGATGTTAGAGCAATTGTATCTGACTAAAAGTCTAACAAGCAAGTTGCATCTCAAGTAACATTTATAATCTCATCGAATGGCAGAAGTAGGATCATTGGATCACTTGGTTGTATTTAAAGAGATCGTCGCTGATTTGAAAACTTTGGAAGTAAAGTATAATGAAAAAGATTTGGCTCTATACTATTGTGTTTGTTGTCCGCTTCGTTTTCTTCATTTAGAGACGATCTTGTATAGTCGTAATATTCTCACCATAGAAAATGTGTATAATGCTTTGTTTTCAAAAGAGAAGGTGAAAATCTGATTTTAGAGGTCAGAGATAAAGAATGCATTGTTGCTTATGGCGATTCTGGAAGGGGCATATCGAAATCTAAGTTTAGTAATCAGATTTGTAACTTCTACAAGAAGAGGAGGCACTTAAAGAATGATTGCTACAACTTACAGAATAAAGAAAGGTTGGTATAAGTCGATATATGAATCAATCAGAGACTTCAGGTGAAACGGATCTCATGGAGAACATTGTAAGTGAGGGAGATCTCTTGACTATTTCTGACATCGAGTTTAAACCAGAGGAGGATTGGATTCTGGATTCAGAGTGTATGTTTCATATGTGTCCTAATAAGGACTTGTTTACTACGTATGAAACAGTTTCTAAAGGTGTCGTGGTTATGGGAAGCAACGCACATTGTCTGGTTGTTAAAATTGGTACGGTCAAATTAAAGCTATTGGATGAGGCAATTAGAACACTTGGCCGGTTCGACATGTTCCAAATTTGAAGAAAAATTTCATCTCGTTGTCTATCTTTGATTCAAAAGGTTTATAAATTCTTTGGTGAAGTTGGAGTTTTGAAGGTTTGAAGGGTGCCCAGATTGTATTTGAGGAACATAAGAGGTATTAGTTATACATCTTATAGGGTTGTGCAGAATCTAAAAGAGTCAATCAGCACAGATTCAGTACCGTGGTGGACATTCATTTTGATAAAATACCTTTAGGAGCTCGTAAATGGTCAAATTTGAAGAATACTGCTCGGTGGAGTTAAAGAGATATGGATAATGCGCTTTGCCACCAACACTTACGGTGTCATTTATTCAATTGTCAGGGACGGACCCAGTGGTAAAATATATGTGGATGCTAATTTTGTTGAGCATACCTTTCAGTGTAGTAGAATGTATACAATCTAGCAAGGGGTCTTCTATAAAAGTATTTGGGTTTGATTATGTTTTGGGGTGTGTTCAGCCCAATCTGATGAATTTTAAAATCATTATGATTTTTTTTGGAATTTGAAGTAATTCAACGGAGTAGTGTTTGGATTCATTGGAAGATGTAAAGTATTTTGTGTTGGTTGGAGAAATCAGTTTTGGTTATTGTTGAGACATTCCTTAAAAAATAAAATAAAAACTTATTTAAAAAAAAGTTTTTCAAAATAAAATAAAAACTTATTTAAAATAATGTTTTTAAAATTTAAAAAAAAATTTATTTATATTTTTTTCTTAATTTATTTTTTTATGTATAATACAAAATTACCGTTTTACCCATTTAATTAGTGAAAATAGTGAAAAGAATTTGGATGGTTATGATGAAATGTTATATGAAATTAGATGGCTATGATGAAACATTATATGAAATTGGGTAATTATTGTGAAATAAAATCAAATTGGGTGGTTATGGTGACATTAAATATAAAGTTGGGAGGCCATGGTGACATTAAGTATAAAGTTGGATGGTCATCGGTGAATTTAACCCTATGATAATTAACAAGATTAAACTACCAAGATTTTAAATGAGTTAATTTCATTAATGGTAACTGAAGTTCAAATAAAAATTTAAAATGATCAACAAAAGTATTGTTGTAGCTCATTTAATTACTATAATAAATGTTGATGCATACTTGGTCACTTCGTTAGCTTAATTAATGTCATGTACTGTGTAATGAATAATTCCTTCAGTACAGGAAATGTTGCCAGATTTTGTACAGAATTTTGAATTGGAAAAATACTGTGCGTGTATTTGTGTTTTCCCTCCTCCATGTTTGAACCCAGTCAATCCATTTCAAATTTCTGTGTGTATTCTGTGAAATTTTCATGTACTCATAGCATAATTCTTGTGTAATAGCTATTAAACCTCCATGTCAACTA